GGTTGGAGATGATGAAACGCGTGGGGTGGGGGGGATGGTTTCTCTCCATTCAGCCCCGGAGAGGGTCCGGAACAAGAGGCAGAATCTGCCAAAACAGGCCGAAACGTTTAGGAGGCACTTTCTGACACAAAGACACACACACAGGGGAGTGGGAATCTGAAAGTTTCTCCGAGTGGGAGTCATGGGCAACATCCTAAAACAGACCGATCAGATTGTTCTAGGGGAAGGGGATTAACAATATCGAAAACACGGCAGCTCGATGTGGTCAGAATGTCAATCAACCGTCATATGGTTCAGCAGCAGAATGGGCTCAAGGGGCCGAATGGCTTCCTCCTTTTCCTGGGTAACATGTGGGAGGGGCTGAATGGTCTCCTCCTGTTCCGAAGTGGTGGTGGGGACTGAGTGACCTATTGCTGTGTAACAGACTTGAGGAGTGGGCTGAATGACCAGTCTACTCGCAACAGATTTAATCGCTCATTGGCACAATTCATCGACAAGGCACAAGTCAGGAGTGGGATGGAATACTCCCCACTTGCCCCTGGATGGGGGCAGCTCCAACAACACTCAAGAAGCTCGACACCATCCAGGACAAAGCAGCCCCCGCTCGATTGGCCCCACATCCACAAACATCCCACTCCCTCCCCCCACCGACGCTCAGTAGTAGCAGTGTGTACCATCTACAAGATGCACTGCAGAAATTTGCCAAGGCTCCTAACCATAATCCAACCTTTCAACAGCACCTTCCAAACTCATGAGCTCTACCACTAAGCAGGACAGGGACCTTGGAACACAGTCATCTGCACATTCCCCTTCAAGCCAAACAATACAATCGAAATGCTGCAGATGTTGGAAATCTGGAATTAAAACAGAAAGTGCTGGAGAAACTCAGCAGGTCTTGCACCACCTGTGGAGAAAGAGAAACAGAGATAACAGAGTTTTGAGCCTGATGTGATCCTTCAAGTGAAACTCCTTTCTGTCTTCAGTTTTTTAAATTCTTTCATGGGATGTGCGTGTCACTGGTTCAGCCAGCATACTTGTCCATTGAGAAGGTGGTGGTGAGCTGCTGAGCAGCCTCCTTCAGTTCCTGTATAACAGACTCAAGGAGGGGGCTGAATGGCCTCTTGTTCCTGTGTAACAGGCTTGAGGAGGGGACTGAATGGCCTGCTGTTTCTGTGTAACAGGCTTGAGAAGGGGTCTGAATGGCCTCCTGTTCCTGTGTGATAGGCTCGAGGAGGGGGCTGAATGGCCTCCTGTTCCTGTGTAACAGGGTCGAGGAGGGGGCTGAATGGCCTCCTGTTCCTGTGTGATAGGCTCGGGGAAGGGGCTGAATGGCCTCCTTTTCCTGTGTAACAGGGTTGAGGAGGGGGCTGAATGGTCTCCTGTTCCTGTGTAACAGCCTTGAGGAGGGGACTGAATGGCCTGCTGTTTCTGTGTAACAGGCTTGAGGAGGGGTCTGAATGGCCTCCTGTTCCTGTGTAATAGGCTCGAGGAGGGGTCTGAATGGCCTCCTGTTCCTGTGTAATAGGCTCTGGGAGTGGGCTGAATGGCCTTCTGTCTTGTTTGGGATTGTCATTATTTAGTATTTTTGTGACACATCATAGACTCATACAGCATGGAAGCAGACAGTTTGCTCCTACCAGTTCATGCCGACCATGATCTCAAGCTGTCCAGAGCCTGGATATTGTCCACTTCTTGCATTCCATGTGCTGTGGGTTGACCCACAATGCCCCTTAGGGAGGGAATTCCAGGATTCTGACCCAGCAACACTGAAGGAACGGCGATATATTTCCAAGTCAGGTTGGGGAGTGGAGGGGAACTTGCAGGGGGTGGTGTTCCCATGTATCTGCTGCCCCTTGTCCTTCCAGATGGAAGTGGCCGTGGGTTTGGAAGGTGCTGCCTGAGGATCTTTGGTGAATTTCTGCAGAGCATCTTGTAGATGGTACACACTGCTGCTACTGAGCGTCGGTGGGGGAGGGAGTGGGATGTTTGTGGATGTGGTGCCAGTCGAGCGGGGGCTGCTTTGTCCTGGATGGTGTCGAGCTTCATGAGTGTTGTTGGAGCTGCCCCCATCCAGGGCAAGTGGGGAGTATTCCATCCCACTCCTGACTTGTGCCTTGTCGATAGAAAACAGACTTTGAGGAATCAAGAGGACTCCCAGTCTCTGACCTGCTCCAGTGGCAACTGGGTGTGTATGGCTAATCAAGTTGAGTTTCTGGTCAATGGTATTGCTGGTGAAGGATTCAGTGATGGTAACAGCATTAAATGCCAAGGGGAGATGGTTAGATTCTCACTTGTTGGTAAGGGTCATAGCATGGCATTTGTGTGACGCGAATGTCACTTGCCACTTGTCAGCCCAAGCCTGGATATTGTCCAGATCTTGTTGCATGTGAACACGGCCTGCTTCAGTACCTGAGGAGTCACAAATGGTGCTGAACATTGTGCAATCATCGGCGAACATCCCCATTTCTGACCTTATGGTGGAGGGAAGGTCATTGATGAAGCAGCTGAAGATGGTTGGGCCGAGGACACTACCCTGAGGGACTCCTGCAGAGATGTCCTGGAGCTGGGATGATTGATATCCCACAACCACGACCTATATCTCAGGTATGACTCCAACCACTGGAGCATTTGCCCCCTGATACCCACTGATTCCAGTTTTGCCAGGACTCCTTGATGCCACACTCGGTCAAATGCAGCCTTGATGTCAAGGGCTGTCACTCTCACCTCACCCTCTGGAATTCAGCTCTTTTGTCCATGTTTGAACCAAGGCTGTAATGAGGTCAGGAGCTGAGTGGCCCTGGTGGAACCCAAACTGGGTGTCACTGAGCAGGTTATTTCTGAGCAGGTACTGCTTGATAGCGCTGTTAGTGACACCTTCCATCACTTTACTGATGATCGAGAGTTAACTTAAAATTGGCAGGTAATTGACTGGACTGCAGTTATAGAATAGACTAGGATAGACTCCCTACAGTGTGGAAGCAAGCCATTCGGCCCGTCGAATCCACACCAACCCTCTGAAGAGCATCCCACCCAGACCTATCGTTCCTACCCTATCCTTGTAACCCTGCATTTCCCATGGCTGAGCCACCTAGCCTGCACATCCCTGGACAATTTAGCATGGCCAATCCACCTAACCTACAGATCTCTGGTGTGTGGGTAAAAACTGGAGCACCCGGGGGAAACCCACACAGACACGGGGAGACCATGCAGACCCGGCAGCAGTGTTAACCACTGAGCCATTTTGCTGCCCAATACTATTGTACGTCGAAAAGATCTTGCGCAGCTTTCCAATTTGCAAAGTGTAGATACTAGAGTTATAGTCGATGGTGTTGACTTGGCTTTTTAAGAATGATGGTCGGGCTTTGTGCGTTGTTTTTGAACAGACAGACCTAAGGGTTCAGGTACAAAATTCATTGAAATTTGCATCACATATAGACAGGGTGTTTAAGAAGGCATTTAGCACACTTGCCTTCATTGCTCAGACTTTTTGAGTATAGGAGCTGGGACGTCATGTTGAGGTTGTAAAGGACGTTGGTGAGACCTCTTCTGGAGTTCTGTGTGCAGTTCTGGTCACCCAGTTATAGGAACTAAATTATTAAGCTGGAGAGAGCTCGGAAGAGATTTGCCAGGATGTTGCTGGGAATGGCAGGTTTGAGTTATAAGGACAGGCTGGGACTTTTTTCACTGGAGATTAGGAGGTTGAGAGGTGACCTTATAGAGGTTTATAAAATCATGAGGGGCATGGATAAGGTGAATGGCAAATGTCTCTTCTCTAGGATGGGGGATTTCATAAATAACTGGCATAGGTTTAAGGTGAGAGGAGAAAGTTTTAAAAAGGACCTGAGGGGCAACTTTCTTATACAGAAATGATCTTCCAGAGGAAGTGGTGGATGTGGGTACAATTACAATATTTAAAAAGGCATTTGGATAAGTACATGAGTAGGAAAGGTTTGGAGGGATATGGGCCAGGAGCAGGCAGGTGGGACTGGTTTGGTTTGGGACTATGGTCGGCATGGACTGGTTGGACCGAAGGGTCTGTTTCCTGTACAACATTAAAATGCATGACGCCTCTCACAGTGTTTGATGCAAAGAGGATTTTCATCCCTGGGTTGAGAGCCAAGACCCGGTGGGGCTGATGGGTACACAGTCTCAGGCTAAGGGCTGTGGACTGAGAAGAAAAGAAAAATCTTCACTCAGAGTTTGCTGAATCTTCGGAACTGTCTGCCCCAGAGGGCGGGCGCTCTGTCGCTGAGTTTAC